AATTGTGTAATAATCAAAAAAGGTTGGAGTTATTTTTCTGAATGTATTGACTGAAGTTACTGTAGATGACCATTTTAACTATTTTTTCATATAATTTTTTCTATATTTAATTTTATTAATAAAATATATTTTAAATATAATTTTTTCATAAATCAGCAGACTCAACTAATACAGGCATTTCAGCCAGAACTTCATAAATTTCAACAGAATCAGCCGATTCAGCTGATTTCAGTGTTACCAAACAACCTCTAACTTAATGAAGTGATGGGATCCATCCGGTTTGTGGAACAAAGGGTACAACCATTCCGTCTTAAAGTACAAACTCATATTAGCATACAATTACACCAACAAATTTTTCGTAGCCAAAAAACCCTCACCGTTATACAGTCTTATATGTGTGTGTGTCTGCGAGCGCGCGGTATTGATATAATCTCTTCTCAAATAATTATAGAATATGTTAAAATTTTAATTAAAGATATTCAATTAAAAAATGAAAAAACCTAACTAAAAGTAATGATAAAAAACATAATTGGAGGTATGTAATTAAAAAATTAGTTGTATTTTATATGTTCCATTACAAATAAGATGCTTGAAATCAAGCTAAAAATAATGATAAATTCAAAGAGGAAGTTTAATATATAAATATACTGTACACATACATGCATTCTACACGATTTGTGCATTTTACAAATTGGACTAATTAGCATGGGTGATGAACAATTCACCACACATTTGCGTATTCAAATTGCAATGCAACAATTTTACGATTTTTTTGTTGCACATAATCTTTTAGGTGGTTAGTGAAATCTGTGGAAATCTCTTGTATGAAAATCTTGTTTTATTTTTCATAAAGAGATAACGGTCTAAGCAAAGAATTCCCATTGACTACCCGTACGGGTAGCTCAGTTGATCGAGTGGTGGGAAAAATTGGACGTAGACCAAGGTTCGAATCCCGCAGCGGCCAAAAGGGGGTTTTCAGAACCTGAAATAAGATTGTCCCTCTGGTGCGCACGAGTAAAGATCTACTGCCGCTTTGCCGACTGAGTCACCGTGATTTACTCCCCCACCATCCTGTCGGGTCGGGGTGGGGGGCCCTTGGGGTTGAGGATTCAACCTTTTGGATGAAGAATTCCCATTGGCTTAATTTTGAGAATTAGGTGGATCTCATTTATCTGTCTAAAGACTTATTACTAGTATGAATGATAATAAAAACATTATTATGACTTATATGCACGACCGACCAAGGAGGCATGGAAGGCCCTTAAATATATTATTCGACCGCCACTCAAGATTAGTCAACAAAAGGCGGCTGATTTCTTTGAGGAAAACATCTATTTACTTGAATTTATAAATTTGTGGAACAAATTATGCACGAATTAGACACGAATTGAATGTTATTTGATTTTTTTCTTCAAAAAAATCGGCTGTCCATATTCTTATGGTGTTCTTGTATTTAGATTTTGGATTACTTTCCTAACATTTATTCTTTATTATCTTCATATTAGTAGGGACAAATACATCACCGACCATCTCCTTTAGATCTCACATCTCCAAATCAACATAGGATTTTGTATCAAGCTCAAATTATAAGTGAGAATTATGGTATAATGTTTTGCAAAGATAAAAAAACAACTTGGAATAACAGGTCATAAATCGATCAGGAATCAGTGAATGAAGATGAGACGCAAAGGTTGGATTATTCATGAATAATCAAAAGGTGAGACTATTATAAGAATACCGCTAAAAGGTTGGATTATTAGTTTCCATAAATTAATCGATATGCATTCCTACCGTATATATGCATGTTTTCTCTTTCATTAAATCGATATGGTGTTCGTTCTCGAGCCCTTAATCTCATCAAATGATGGTTTTGAACATAAATATTCTCTAATTCATGATTGTCTGTTATAAATAGGGCCGGGTAAAAGTAAGAAGAGTAAATTCTCTAAATAGGAGTAAAAAAGTTTTGAAATTCCAAAATAGGAGTATCATGTTTTTTATTTTCTAAATAGGCAGGGCCAGCTAGAGCAATTATGAGGTTCTAGACGGTCATGTAGAAATTTTGTTTTAAATATGTTTTATTTAACCCAATGATATAAAAAATAGCAATTAAATATAAGTAAATTACATATAAAATACATCATATACTATTAACACAGTGCGAATATTCTTCGAAATCAGAAGATCAAAGTTGATGAAAAATACAAAGAGCCCTAGAGGGGGAAGGTTTTGTGCTTACATACAACATACCGATCGATATAGCCGGAAAATGATTTCATAACCAAATCATTTCTTAATTTTTTTTTTGTCTTTGTACATCTTGATTCATATTTTGTTTTCCAATCATCACAAAACATAAAATTTCATTCAAAATAATACTATCATAAATATAAGTTAATGGTTCATAGATATAAATTTAATTCACTAAATTTAATCAAATATAAAAAATTATAAGTATGTTCAATATTTCGATGAATCAAAATAACAAATTACAATTTCAATTATTCAATAAGCATTCAAATATATTTAGAATATAATACTCATTATCCTAAATCCCTAGCCCTACTGCCCTAGCCAACAAAGAAAAAAAAGGAAAAAGGAGCAAATAAACCCACATACTAACCAAAAAGGTCAAATAAGCCCTTGAATGTCTTCCCGATTAAATTTTTAGGTGAAATTTGGTATGAGTAAACTAGACATAATGAATAAGATTCTAAAAAAATCATCAAAAAATTACAAAGAAAACTATCCCAAATGTTGAGGCCGGACAAAGTCTCCTAAATAATATTAATAAGCTTATTTTATAAATTAGAGGCCCCTAAAATTTGGAGGCCCTAGACACTTGTCTAGGGTAACTCCCCCTATGGCCGACCCTGTAAATAGGAGTAAATTTCTGCCAAGTTTGGCATTACTAGACTTTTAAACATGACATTTTTTTCCAAACTTGACAGATTATTCTTATTCAAGGAATAAAAAACATGATACTCCTATTTTAGAATTTCAAAACGTTTTCACTCCTATTTAGGGCAATTTCTAAAGTAAGAAATATTATGTGTAGGTAGGGAGGCCATATAAAGTCCCTCTTCTCTTCCCCAATTTGAAAAAAAGTATCCGTAATTATTTTACTCATACAAAACGGCAAACCCATCTGAAAATCATTAGAAAGAATCTTTATCAATTATCAGTCCAAAATCATATTTTGATTAGGGTAATTGTTGTTGTACACAAAATTTGTAAACAAAATATACATTGTCCGTGTATACATGCATTTTGATAGATAATTCATCTCTTTTTAAATGAGCAGCCTGTGTACACGGGCAACTAGAGGAGTTATGTATGATTTGTGTACAAAATGTAATTTTCCTTTTGTTTACTATAGTACTACCTAATATACGCATGCATAAAAGTTAAGAACAAATTACTAGGTCAATTTTACACATGTATCTTTACAATTTTCTTCAAAACATGGGATGTTTACATAATTAAAAAGGATGTTTGTAATTGAAGTAGTTCCAGGCCAATATCATGTCAGATCAAATTCTAATATAACAAACTAGATCAAGTCAGATCAACATACTTCAACAATAGTAAAATACACATAGAGTGGACATCTACTACATCAGTCCATACATGATTAGATTTAAACATGTCAGATTAGATCATATTAGACTAGACTACATACTATAAATTTCCAGTCCAATTAAAAACATACTCCGCAATATGAAGTACTCCCTCCGTCCCGCTAACAATGGGACAAGAGGGAGTGGCACGCAAATCAATAAAAAGTGGTTTATGTGGTTGATATTGAATTGATAAAGTCATAATATAGTGAGAATGATTTAGAGCCACACAACTTTGCCAAATTTGGTATGAGACAATCTTAGTGGGACGGACCGATAAGGTAAAACGGGACAGTCATAGCGGGACGGAGGTAGTATTAAACACCATAAAATCCCCCATGACCATATTTGAGAATATCCATGTAGCACGGTGCACATGTAGCATAAGAGATAGCCACATAAATATTAGCAAATAAATTATTTATCTCCTTATTTGAATGATTTTATACAATTTTGGTAACCTTTTCTCTGCAATGTCAACCACAATGTCAATATCTAGACGGTCTTCTTGACATTGTGGAGAAAAACTTAACAAAAGTGTATAAAGTTATTCAAATAAGGAGATAGATGATTTATTTGTTAATATTTATGTGACTATATTTCATGTCACATATGCACCGTGTACATTGTTGCGTTGAAAATGCTCTAATCCATATGTGAGCATAAACTAACCTCTCATAATGTTTGCTTTTGCTAAATTATTTCTATTACTAGTCAAGTCATTAAGTTATAATAATAATGACTGGCACATTACAATAGGTACTTTGGTAGTAATGTGATCACCAAACATATCGTGTTATAAAATCCCAACAAATCCAAAGGGATTTTTGTTGCCATTTGTGGGGATTGAGGTTTTAGAAAGAAGGGACGACCACTCAATTTAACTTGTTTTCTTTCGAAATAATTTTCATATTTGTAGTGACTCTATTTATCTAATTCTCTTCTTTTTCTTGAATGATTCGTTTAAGTTTGACTTACGTACGTTGATAATGTTCCATATTTGTTGTTCGGAAACAGCGTTTTGATCAAAACGATGTATGAAAATGGTAAATCTGTGTTTCGTTGTATTTATTGGAAATATATCAATGGAGTGTTACAATGATATTTGTACCAATATATTTGTAGAAACAAGCATCCAGATAATACAAAAAAAACTGATAAAGGGTCAAATATAAACTCCTCTAAATTTAAAAACTACGTCACAAATTTAATTTCATCGTCAGTTGAATAGATCTAAAGGCTGAAAACATATAGTAGTATCTTGGTAATAAATTAAACTGAACCTTTTCAGATGCAACATTTTAAACTTTGATATGCAATTGTTTAATTTATGCAATTGTTTAATTTGTTTGATATGCAATATACTTTGATCATCCATATGCATTATAAATAACGTAAAGATGGGTACAAACTACAAAGTTTTGTTAAAAAAATGGAGTTGGTACCAAATGTGCCTAAAAGGTGGTTGTCAATTTGTCATATCTTTTAAGTGATTTCAGTACACTCTTTTTAAATTGCTATGGCTTTGGTCGAGTGCTGGTGCAAATATCAGGTTGATTGTTGATATTATGTCACATTAATTATGTAATTAACATTAACATAACATTAACTCTCCAGAAAATATACATACGGAAATTAATTAGATGACAGGAACACGATGCGGTAAAGTTTGGTGTATGACATCACGAAGCTTTCATATTGTCCAAACCAACACTTCTCTGCACGCATAAAAAAATCAACATAATAAAGAAATATAAGAACTTCCGATTTACAGAATTATTTATTTTCAGTATGTAATTTATCTAATTTAAAATTTGATTGGTTTTCAGAATCATATATAATGTGACGCAAAAGCAAACTAAACTCAATCTAAATATAGAATTCGTTTGATAATATTGATATTGGTGGAATCGGTTTATTTTGCTGAAATTAATTAAATTCTAGCTGAATAGGTTGAATAGGTGAATATCCTAAATCATGAAAAAAAAAATCATTTGTTAAATAAATAAAAATTATATGAAAAATAGTATAAATGGTCTTCTACATAAGCTTCTCTACTAAGCATACTTGTTATGAACCCGATTTTAAAGAATTCATAGAGAAGCTTCTTAATTATTTTCATGTCCTCTAAATTACTTTAATATGCGCCTCAAAATATATTTTTTAATATTCCTCATTCAACTTGGTATGAAATATGGAGTACATACTTTTAATTGTAAGATTTTACATTTTACTTATTATTTCATCACATTGAAAATGTCATTAATAAGGACGTTTTTAATTGAATTAAAATTTTCAGCTTTGATTTGGTCTAAAGTAAAATGATCTGGTAGATTTCTGTTTTACATTTTATGTGTCCAATTATTATTAAAGTTAGATCTGATCTGATTTAGTCTGAGACTGAAATCAATCTAATTAAAAACATCTTAAGAGTAAACAAAATTAGGAATTTGTAAACATATAAAGATTTCCTAATTTAGATTACGAATCGATCTATTTCAAAAGTGACGGAATCTGGAGTCATTTGTTTTCATATCAATATGCAATCAAAAATAGAATCCAATAAAAATAAAAGGTACGGAGTATAAAAATAACTAAATAATTGTTATATATGATGGATGACATGGCAGGATTATGTGGTGCTTTGTATGCTCTTAAGAAGTTCCTCTTTTATATATATATATATATATATATATATATATATATATATATATATTGATTATTTTTGGACTTATCAGCTTTATCAATCAACTTTTTCAACACACACATAACTTTTGATTTCACCCGCTAAATTTTATAATAATCAAAACAAGTAAGGTTGAAGTTAAAATTCTGACTAAATTTTCTATTTTCATATAATTTTTTCTTTATTTTATTAATAAAATATAATTTAAATATAATTTTTTTATAAATCAGCAGAATCAGCCACTTTCGTCAAAACTTCATAAGTTTCAGCATAAGCAATCGGTTCGTCCAATTTCAGTGTTACCAAACAGACTCTAATTCATTAGAAATTTGCATTTAAATCTAACAGATAATTGAACTGCGAAAATGATTATGGTTTGATTAAAATTTGATGATCCTACCAAAAATTTGTGAATCTCTTGAAGAATGGGTGAAAATGATGTGTACAAAGCCTCCATCTCCTCATAGCTATTCCCAGCTCCAACTATTACCTCCATGAACTTCTTCCTATCCGGAGCAAGCTTAATTGCAACCTTTTACATTTCATATAATTAATAACATGATTTATTGATATATCATGCATATAATTTTATAAGAACTGTTACTCTAACACCAGAAAAATAAAGAAAGAAATCAAGGAAGGTTTGAAAATTCCAAAATAGGATTGTCATGTTTTTATTTCCAAAATAGGACTAATTACTGCATGTTTTGGCAGTACCAGAATTCAAACAAGACAACATTTTCTAAACTTGACACTAATTACTCCTATTTTGGGAATAAAAAATATGACAGTCTTATTTTGAAATTTTCAAACTATTTTAGTCCTATTTCGGGAACTTTCCCAGCAAAGAAAATAAAACTTTAGAATAAATTAAACTAGCTAACGGTTTAAATTTAAATTTTTAGTGCAATCTAGCTATAAGTGTCACATGACTGAGTTTCACAACCACAACGCAAGCCTAAATTAGTAATTGTATCATGAACACACAGAAAATTTCCTAAGTATGAGTAAAATGTACTACCTCGTTCCATATTAATCATCCAAATATTATTAAGAAGTACTGCTTCTTTCCAGTAAGATTTGGATAAAGGAGAATGATATTGTCTTTAATAAAAACAGAGTTATGTGGTTAATAATAAATTGATGAAGTTGAATAAAGTACTCTCTCTATCCCCTTATAATTGTCCCATTTTTCTATTTTTGGATGTCCCCCTATTATTGTCTCATACCATATTTGGTAACATTTGTGTGACTCTAATTCATTCTTACTTTATTTTCACTTTATCAACTCACTATCAACCACATAATTCTGATTTTTATAAAAATCACACCACTCCTTTCCGTCTCAATATAGAGGGACGGAGAGAGTAATACGAGTAATAAATTAAAGCAACACAAATATTACCAAATATGATATGGATAAGGAAAAAATGAAAATAATAATCCCAACTATTGTCGGTCCGCTAACAATAATTTCAACTATTGATTATTTTTGTATAATCCCAACTATATGGACCGTCCGCCAATAATGATCCGTGACCAGATATTACCTGCTATAACAAGTGAATTTTAAATAGAAATTAAGTGTAAAAATTAAAAGTTGGAATTATTTATAGGAATTACTTGTTATATCTATTCTTATCCACTTTAGAAATTATAGGAATTTATTTATAGCCGGTCACGTCGGACCATTATTGGTGGAAGGTCCCTAATGTTGGGATTATTTTGAAATAATCAATAGTTGTATTATTATAATCAATAGAAAGTACTCCCTCCGTCCCAAAATGATAGTCCTGTATTTCCGTTTTGGGATATCCCAAAATGATGGTCTTGTTTTCCTTTTTAGAAAGAAAGATGTGGTCCATATCATTTCACTTTACTATACTCAAATTTCAATCACAACTTTTATCTTTTCAACCACTTTATTAAAATTTGTGTCCAAAAGAAATGATACTATCAAATTGAGACGGAAGAGTAATAAATACCGTAAAGCTAGAACTAGCAAGCCATCCGTGCCAGCTTTTCAAAGTTTTAGCGTATGAATCACTGCACGCTTGTGACATTGACCAATCCTGATGCTGAGCTAAGTTATGGATAAGTTCCACTATGAAATCCATTGCCCTAACAATCAGCAAGCATATATATATATATGGTTGATTAATTATCTTAAGGATATGTTGTGTAAATTTGCAACTTTTATTAGTAAAAAAACCTGGTGAGCCAAAGAAGACCATTGGTGCAACTGGATGATGATTTGGCAGATTTTGTTTCAACTTCTGCCTGTACAAAACTGTACAAATAATTGTATCTTGATGGATTCGTTTCATATTTTGATTCCAATCTCTGCGATTAAATAATGAAAAACTAACTAAATAGATTTGATAGTACGTATGATAGTACGATTTATTAATTGTTAGGGTATTTCCACATGCGAAAGTTTTAAAACAATAAAACACTATACAAGGTTTTGGATTCTCCTCTTATAAGGTTGACCATTTAGTATGGAGCCTCAAATCTTAACATGATATCAGAGTCAATTCCGATTGTGGTTTGACAGCTTGTTTAATACCCATGATTACGGGTAGCTTGTTAAGGGTCTGTTTGACCCATTTATACACCCTGATATTATCCAGCCCGGTTCGGGCTGAGGAGTCGTGTTAGAGTATTTGTCCTACACCGGAAAGCTATAAAACAATAAACCACTATATAAGGCTTTGGGCTACTCCTCCTATAAGTTTGACCTTTTAGGATGGAACCCCAAATCTTAACATTAATGATGTAAGTAGTAATTAATACCTAAAATAGATTTTCTGTATAATTTGCTTCTCTTACTCATCCCTTATACTTATCCTTATCCACAGACATGTTTGTTTTGTTTGTGAACGCACTGAATGAGATTCACAGATAAAAAAATAGTCTCTCATAGGGGTGGGTATAAGAGGATGGGTACAAACATAATTTTTCTTTCTATATTTAGTATGAACTCTAATATATTTATAATTTTTTTTCCATTCAGTATATATGACATAGAGTTACCAGTTTGGTAAACCTAATCATTATTCACACATGGTATCAAAAAGTTCTAGATTATTATATGTATAAAAAATTGTGGTCGCAAGGTATCAAGAAGAGGTTCTCTAGTGTTCTGGATCCAACAAGCAATACAATCATACTCCCTTTGTTCCTTAATATTTGGCCAAGTTTGATTAGCACGAGAAATAATAAAGTAAAAATGTGTGATTGAGATTTGTTGAGAGGAGAGGGAATTAATTGGAAGTACAAATTTTCATTTACAAAAAAAAAATTGCAAAGTTAATGGAACAATCAAAAAAGAAAAGTTGACAGCATTTTAAGGAACGAAGGAAGTATAATATATTAACTCTCTCTAGCTAAGATGTCTCATCTTTCCTTTTCGATCTGATCCATTAAGATTTTCTCATACTAAAATTGGTAAAATTTGTGTGATTTTATATTATTGGTACTTTATTTTTACTTATTCAATATCAGCCACATAAACTTATTTTTATTTTTATTAATAACCACACAATTTTCTCATGTGTTAATGTTAATGCAACGGAGGTACTCATACGTTATTAACTACTGAGTTGTGCAAAAGGTATGTAAAGAATATATCTTACTGAAATGTTTCCACTTATATCAGATTTCACCATAGTCATGGCAGCTCCTAATTTATCTGGCATATAAGAAAAAAAGAATAGGACATAAGGGGTTGGATTTATCTTCCTTTATTAAAACTTATTAATTCACCAATAGTTGAGATAATGTTGTGATATACAAATCATGAATAGAGATTGAGTGAATGGGAACCTAGAATAGGCAAGATGAGTTTGCAAACATTTAAGAATGGCTTGGTGAGCATGTCTCCGCTTCCTGACTTGACATGCTTCATTTCTTCTAAAGCTGGGGTAAGCAATGTTCCTCCTTCCATTGATCTTACACTAAGTTTAATTTAGTTGTGCCTTTAACCATCACAACAATAACATATACATTATCAATTTTTCCATTAAATCGGGAGCAAATCAAAATATATATTGAATGAAAATTCAAAAATTTAAAGAACAAACACTTAAAAACAATGAAAGTATCTCAACCAACTGAAAACTCAATAACACTATGTGATTCCCTTAGTTAACTTATATCCACATGCATATCCCTAAAAAGAATCTAAAAATTCACAAAATTTTCAAGTAAGAATTGAACTCAATTTGCAATAAAAACTATTACTTCCGTCCAACTTGACTTTGCCAATATATTGGGTGTGGAATTAGAAAAGTAAAAACCGTGTTATAGGGATTTATGATAAGGAAAGAAAAATGATCGGAATCACAAATTAATTGGTTTAAAATGAAATGACAAATTTTTAAGATGAAACAAAGTTTTTAGGATGAACATAAAAGAAAGGAGTTAAAGCCCAATGGGACAGAACCTCACGGGAAGAAACAGGGTAGGGTTGGGCTCCATAATAAATTATCCTAATTTTTAAATTTTTTTTACATATAATAAGTTTATCTTTGAACCTTTGAAACATGAGAAAATTTTATATATAAAAATGGTGCAACGTTGCACTATAGCTTAACTGCATGTATTTATAACTTTTCATATAAACAAAGAAGCAAGAATTGTGTGTATTTATAATTTTTCCATCATATTTTTTATTCTAATCATCATTCCATCATTATAAAAAATTTTACCGTAACTTTTAACAAAGCATTTCATAACATAGTTAGTTTAAAATCCTTTTTGAACTAATAATGCTATTTGAATATTTATTTCAAACATCATTAAAATTACATAATTGTGACAACAATCTATTTCTACAATTGTGTTTCCATCATTTCCAATCAATCTGGAAATTCACTATTTTGGTTTAGAAATATGATTGAATAAAGCAAAATGTGTTAAAGTCCCACACCAGATATCTCTGAAAGAATTAAACCTTATCTGAGCTACTTCTCCTATAAGGTTGATCTTTTAGGATGGAAGCCCGAGTCTTAACATGGTATCAGAGCCAATTCCGGTTGTGGTTTGACTGCTTGTTTAGCACTCATGATTACGGGTAGCTTGTTAAGGGTTTGTTTGGCTCATTTATACACCACGATATTGTCCAGCTTGGTTCGGACTGAGGGGGCGTGTTAGAGGATTTGTCCCACATCGGAAACCTATAAAACAATAAACCACTATATAAGGCTTTGGGTTACTCCTATTAGGTTGACCTTTTAGGATGGAACCCCAGATATTAACAAAATGGCTCATCTTTATGCATCTTTATTATGAAGCAGCAGCAGTCCATGTAATCTTCGATGCAATTTCATCATGTGTCATCTAAAAACAGTCTACATTTTCTAATACAGAGGTAAGGTTACATACATCTGATTCCACACTGTAGGCATTTGCGTCACCGGGTAATGGTGTACGATATTTTAAAGTTTTTTAAGATGTTGTTTAGTGCTTGAACCCACACGCGGTATCTGGTTCGAATCATCTATGCAATTCCATCCTTATGATCCAGAGATGATTGAAAATCGAAAGGATATCGCTAAATTGATATAACAACTACCCACGATATGATCAAGAGACGAATATTTCTAAAGTTATTGTATTCCAAGAATCGCCGCATCATTTCTTTCATGTACCATTCATTGCTCATTAGTGGTACAAATTGAACAAGCTAAGGTTATATATACTTTATATATAATCATTCACATAACATGGTGGAACCAAGAAAGAATTCAACGTACCTGGATTGTAATGCTTACATATATTATATGACTAGGAGGAACCGATTGAGTTTCAGAAAGAAACACATATTTGTTAGGCTAATATTATTAATAGGAAGGAAAGTTTTGCATGCCTTTATTGTGGTCAAGGCATACATACAGGACAATGCAACGAAAAATTCTAAGCTAAATAATAATAAGCCAACAATGTGCCTACTATATTACGTGATCATATATTCCTTACAAGGAAACTATCACCAAGAGATTCCACCGGCACATATTCTGTGATGCAATTTCACCATTAAGGAAAATATATTTCATGGACTTTATTATTCCTTCCTTATGTAAATTAATTCCTTTTATGTTAATTGACCATAGCACTTACGTGCATGTATATATTCACGTACAGAGCATTTGTAAAAGACGAACAATACAATCAATATACACGATTTCTTCCATTCTTATTTCTTCCACTCTTGTTGCTCAATTTCAATATTATTTATCATGGTATCAGAGACGAAATCCGGGTATTTTTCCTATTGATCATTGATAGTTATACAACATGGCCGATGTTGATAAAGAAACCACATGAAATGACCAAACATTGGTCATTGATTCTATGTCTCCTTACTTTATTCAGTCCGGTGATAAGCCCGAAGATGTTTTTGTCACCTTGCTTAACTATGGAGATTGGCTCGATGAGATGAGCAATGTTTTATATGCCAAAAATAAATTTGGGTTTGTCAATGGAGATATTTTGATGCCAGAGGCCAATTCCCCGTATCTACCATATTGGAAACGAGCCAATGCCATGGTCAAGGGTTGGCTTAATAGTAGCATGGAACTTGAATTGAGGCAAAGTGTGAAATTCAAGACGGGACGAGAAATATGGGAGGATCTAGAGGAGCGCTTTGGTAAAGAAAGTGCACCTCGTGTTTACGAATTACGCTCATTATTGGGTGAGACGCGGTAGGACGGGTAGTCCATATCGGCATACTGCAACCGATTACGTCGCATATGAGACGAGATAACCTCCATTTGTAAAGTGTCGAGCTGCTCCTACAGCAAATGCACCTGCAATATCGCAAAACATATCAATGAAGCCCGTGACAAGGATCATCTGTACGATTTTCTTATGGGTTTGGATGAATACTACAGTCAACTCAAAACCTAAATATTGGCGACACGTCCGCTCCCCAGTTTGACCACCGCATATCATTTGATTTCGGAAGGAGAACAACATTGAATCATTGCAACCTCACGCAAGGGAGGAGTTGAAAGCTCTGCCTTTCAAGCACAAACGAGGCTGCCTTCTGATCGGAAACCAAGTGGGAAAGACGGACGATGTTGTACCCATTGCGGGAAGACCAATCATACTTAGGACACGTGTTTCGAGATTGTTGGATACCCAGCCAATTGGATTGTGCATAACAGGGATGGTAAAAAGCAGGGGACACGTCATGTTGATGGATGTTCCGCTCACTCATAGAACCGTTTCTAAGAGCGCTCCAGCCTTTTGCATATACGAATTGAGGGACACCACGTGCTGCGCACGTTGACCAAGTGGAGAATCACTTTTCTGGATTGTCTAATGAACAACTCCAACGTTTGATACAGGTTGTGCGTGAAGAGATTTCAAAAGAGCCTATTTCAGAGGGACCTTCCACAGAAGTCAATATGGCAGGTAATGTGAATTTTCAACCAATGTGGATAATAGAACACATCACATGTGATAAAACACTCCTAACTGATGTCTAATGGAATAACACTTTCCTGGGTTTTATATATCCCATCCTTCCGGTGCAATTTATTATATGTTAGTTGTCTCACTAATGAGCATAATTGTGCACTCATTTTTTCGGGATTTTTGTGTATTGCAGGCCTTACCCTCGAGGAAGCCGATTGGAGTGGGTAGATTTTAATGGCCTATACTATTTGGATTCTTTCACTGATGAGTGGGTGGCAATGTTGGTTTCTCCGTAGGCTAAGGTATGGCATCACCGTCTTGGTCACGCCCCTGATGATCGACTTCGCCACATCACTCACTTGCAAGGCTTCAAACGACACTCTATTTTTTGTGAGTCCTGTATTCGGGCAAAATAAACTCGTCTACCTTTTTTCGTAGCACTGTTAAAACTCAACAAATTTTCTATTTAATTCATTGTGACATCAAGGGAGGATACATGTGTAGCTCTTTCATAGGCGCCCATTATTTCCTCTCTATTGTTGATGATTTTACTCATGGTGTTTGGGTTTATCTTATGAATAATAAGTCTGATGTGGGCCAATTTTTAATACATTTTTAAAACATGGTGCATAATCAATTTGGGCATTCCTTCAAGCGCGTCCGGACTGATAATGGTATGGAGTTTCAAACACATGCCTTGCTAGATTTTTATAGCAGCCATGGAATTCTCTTGGAAACGTCTTGTACTGACACTCCTCAACAAAATGGTGTTGTTGAGAGAAAGCACACGCATATTCTTGAAGTAGCTAGAGCCTTGCATTTTCAATCCGGTTTACCCATAGAATTTTGGGGTGAATGTATTTTAACAACAATTTACATTATTAACCGGTTGCCCACACCCCTAATCTCTAATAAAAGCCTATATGAATTATTATTTCATAAAGCACCTGATTGGCTGATTACATGCATCTTTGGAGTTTTGGTTTCCTTGTTTATGCTCATAATAACAAAAGAAAGGACAAGTTTGGAGAAAGGGGGAGCCCATGTATTTTCGTTGGATATCCGAACGGGCAAAAGGCTTATAGAGTCCTTGATCTACATACGAGGCACATATGTAGCTCTAGAGACGTCACTTTCTTCGAGTAAATCTTTCCTAACAAGAGAGTTCCAGCTCCTGCCGAGTTTGACCAACATGTGTGTATGGCGTATGATAACATTTTGGGCCATGATCACACTTCTCCACCTCCATCATTTACACGGCCAGCAATTAGACCGCCAGCCTCTATCATGCAACAAACCTCGAGTAACGTGCCAACAAATGAAGTTTCAGCAAGTGATGTTACAGATAATACCCCACCTCAAGCTTCCAATGATGAGTCATCAAGTCCGAACAATAATCATACTGAGGATTCTGTTCCTGTGCCTTCCATTGTTGGCCCACCCGACGTGCACATTCGGAGAAGTGACCGAACTCGCCGACGGCCCAAGCACTTGGATGACTTTGACTTCACATTGCAACCTTCGCTCGACGTCCCTAATTCTACCACTCCTTCGGCCAACTCGACGGTACACCCTCTTACACTCCTTCGGCCAACTCGACGTCACTGTGTTTTCTTAGCGGCCATCTGATCGGACTAAACTTGCAAGTATACAAGTGCCGATATAGTAATAAAATACCGGTAAATACCGGGTCGATCCACAGGAAAATGGTTGATATTATAAAGTTGAGTATTGAATGCAAGGGATATAAATGGTATAATTTTTCAACAACTTTGTTCTTTGAGATTGGTTTAAACAAGAATGAGAATTACTAAGGCAATCAGGATTCACCTAAGTGCTTTAATAGGATTTAATACTAGTTTTTTTCCAATAATTATGAATACGATATCGCTAATATATTTTCAACTCCGGTTAAGGCAGCGAGAGCGTGGTTTTCATTACGTGTAAGTCCCGTTACGGATTACATTCATCTACCGAAAACCCCGTTGAATATCAAGACATCACACCCATATCATATGAAACCGAATATATTTCTATTCTCGGTACTATGTATGTTTATCCTTTAATGTTCATAGTTTATACTTCAACATTAATTGCAAGCATAAACTAATATTAACATACTTCTATGTTGTACACCATAGTCATAAACAATCAAAATATAAAGGATAAATCACAATTTATTGGATTAGAACTTTTATCAAACACCTAGTGGACATACAGGTTCATCCCTATCCTTAGCTAAGAAACTAGCCTCTAACGCTCATATTAACCAAGATTACAATACTATGAATGTATAATAAAATGTAAATATAAAGGAAATCTTACCCGAAACATCAATGGTTGGAAGAAATGGGCTTCCGCACCTCAAGCACACCATGGAAAACAAATAAAAACTATAAAAATTAATTATGAACTAATGGATTAAAATGGGATTGAATGATCAATTTGGGATGGATTGGAGGGTTTATACAGGCTTGAAAATGATCTTTGATGGTCTATTTATGATCCTCAATCAACTTGGGGTGAAATTTCCGAGCCATACCTTCCAAATATCTTCATTTCAACTCAAAATATTTGAGCACGTCGTCTGGTTTTCTGCAGATTTCAGAACAACCGGCGCCGGTTGGACATGACCGGCGCCGGTTTGGAGGCAATTGCTTCGTATGTCACACATGACTGGCGCCGGTTGGGTCATATGACTGGCCGGCACCGGACGATATAACTTTTTGTACGTTACGAATTGGCGAATGACTTC